GCTCACATCACCGGCCACATGCCCCCCCACCAATTACAAACCATCTTGCCCGCCCTCCGCTTCTATCTTGAACCCTGAACCCTACGTTTCACCGCTCCCCTCCCCCGCCCCCACCCCAGTCGGTGCCTTGCAACTCCCCCCAAGAACCCCCTTCTCACAAAAAGACACATGATCAAACGTGAGGCGCGCCTGCTGGTAGATGTCCAGTGCCAGGTCCAGCTCGTTGCACTTGAGGCACACGTTGAGCAGGGCGCTGCGTCAAAGGGTGCGGATTGGGCAGCGGGAGGAGTTGCGATGAGGTAGGGTGGGTCGTGGGCCATGTGTATGTATTTCAGTGTGTGTCTCAGCGGTGGGCCGGGGGGTATGTGGCTGCAGAGGTGTAAGGGCGAGGCCGTGGGGTGCCGGTCCTTTGAGCCTCCCTGGCAGGGGAGCCTTGGGGTGGCGTCGTCTCGAGGCGGTTGCCACCCCCGCCCCCCCTGGCTGCCCATGTGCCGCAGCGCCCAAAACAGCCCAAGCCGCCCGCGGGGCGGCAGGCACACCTGTAGGTGTGCACGTTCAGCGCGACCTTGCGGGCGCGCATCTCGGAAACGAGCTCGAGCGCGCGCCGCAGCTGGTGGTGCGACGAGCACTGGCTGATGGCGGTGGTGTAGGTGTACACGTCAGCGAGGTGCGACAGCTCGTTTGAATTCTCCAGGGACCTTCGGGGCAGGGGAGGTGGACACGGGGCAGCACAGGTGAGAGTCGGTCATCATGGAGGGGGTGGCGGTGGGGGCAGATATGTAAGCATGCGAAACACTAGGGGTGATTCAAGAAGCATGGGGAGCGCCCGTCAGTGATGCGAGCCGCCGGCCCCGTGCGGCCGGGCGGCCGGCCCCCGCCTCGTCAGCGCACCGGCTGCCAGTGCATGGATTATTATCCAAGGGCACGCGCCTGACATCATCAAAAAGCTCCATGGCCCGGTTGCCCAGGCCAGCCTTGGAGAGGCCCTTCAGGAGTGCGGCAAACGCGCGGCTGTCCAGGTAGGCGAGCCCCGCCCGCACCGCGTCCCCGGCCGGTGCCGACGCGGGCAGCGCCTGCACGCCGCGGATGAGCTCCTCAACAGAGACGTCGCGCCACGACGCGGCGGCCGCGCCGGGGTCTGAGCCGCCGCGGTGGCCGAAGGCGCCGCCGCCGCCGCGGTCGCCGCCGGGGGCGCCGTCGGGGCCGCAGACCGCGGCCCACAGGCGCCGGTACCCGCTGGGGCGCGCGTGACGGTGGCCGCCGCTGCCGCCGCCGGTGTTGCCGCCACGGGGCTGCGCGTTGGCGCCGCTGCTGCGATGCGCGGCGGCGTTGTTGGCGCCGGAGGCCGAGTTGCTGAGGTCGCTCGCGTTGGTCTCGCCGCTGTCAAACCCGGCCCCTGCGTCGCCGCCGGCGCCTTGCGTGCAGGTGAGCGGGTGCGCGGTGTTGTTGGCGGCACAGCCCGCGCCCCGCGCGCCCGCGCACGCCGCGGCGGGCGCGGGAGGGGCGTCAAACATGATGGCTTGGCCTGAAGCGTCGAGTAAGGTCTGGTCTGACGACTGCGACTCGTTCGACGTAGGTCCGCAGCCGGGCGGCGCCCGCAAGGCGATTCCGCCTGGCGGGCGCGCGCCCACGCAATCGTTGGCGCGGACCTCCGAAAACATGAGCCGATTAGAGTGCAGCATCAGGAACACAAGCTATTGTCTGTTTACGGGTTGCGATTTGTGTCGAGCCGCGGACCGCTGCCGACACGATCTGGTGGTCGGAGTCTGCGAGGATCGCCTCTTGCAATGAGATAAAACGGTCAAAAAGTGTATGAGGCCCGTCACGACACGTTGTGGAGACTGTTCACAGATGCGGGCTGTTGCGTGGTTGGTTGGACTATCAGCGAAAGTGGTGTATTTTGACAGTGTATAACCTATCAAATCTCTCTCTCTCTCTATCATACGCTGCTGAACGGGACCAACGCGCAATCGCCCTTTTTCGAGAGTGCCCAAAACTCCCGACAACTGCCACCGCCCCGCCCTTTTCTGTGAGAGCCGTCGTTCGGGGCAAATTGCGAACTTTCCAGGTGTTTGAAAAGCCCGGAGTAGGCAAGTGATGATTACCGTTCAAGCCCCAGTGATAGTCGGAAAATCAAGGCCGCAACCGCATTTCCAGCGGCTTATGACATATTGTACATTTTGTAGAGGCCACAGCTCTACCAGCGCCAGAGGGTGCGTGGTGAAGCCCTCACAGATTCGCTGCAGGCGTCAACCAGAGGGGTCCGGCCGCGTCACGACGCCCGCAGGGGTTCGCAAGGGTTCCTCACACACACATACAGATCGCAGCGGCGACCAACAACATACCACAGAAAGGTAAAACATGCACATGTATCAACAGCTGCAACAGCGCAACGTATACACAAGCCTCCCACACGCTGATAGTAACCTCCCGAAAGGCTCCATGTTTCAAACGGGGATGGAGCCCGCAGCGTGGCGACCGTGGGGGCCAGCAGGGGCCGCAAATAGGCTCCGTGCGAGTTCCAATCAAGCTGGACAGGGTCCCATATGGCTCCTCTGGTGGCACCCTCCCGTCACGCGTGAGACCTTGGGCTGTGGTGCCCGGCGCGCATCCCCTGCCATCGCCCTGTTCAATCCGCGGCACCCCCACCACACGTAATAGCGGGCAAGCAGACGGCCCTTCCGCGCCTTAAGGGACGCGGCGTGTCACTCCCCCCAGGCGCAGCTGTCGCCATATTGCCCGGTCCGGAAAATGGTCCCCAGGTTCTTCGCAGCTTCCGCGCAGCCCGCGCCCGCCGCAGCCTTGAACAGCAGGCACGCGCGCGCCCTGTCGCGCGCCACGCCCTCGCCGTCCAAGTGCAGGAACGCGAGCACGAGCGCGGCCTCCCGCAGAACCCGCTGCCGCATGCCGACGTCCACCGCCGCCGCGCAGCCGCCGCCGTCGCCACCACCGGCGCCGCCTGCGGCCGCGCCCGGGCCGGCGGCGGCGGCAGCGGCGGTCCCGTCGCCGCGGCGCGGCGTCCCTTGCGAGTTGCCCTGGCGGCGGGACGCCTCCAGGTCGGGCTGGACCTGTGGCGCAACAAATGTGCGTGCAAGCGGCACCGTCAGGGGCGCGCAAGCCAGCTGGCAGACACGTGACGTCCAGACACAATGGCCGGCCGCGCCAGTGGCGGCCAGAAGGGGCTGGGCGTGCGAAGCATGCCCTGAACACTCGCGACATGCGCCGGCCCGAGCCAGGGTCAAGCGGAACCACCCGCCTCGTTCGAGCAGCCCGGCTTAGACTTGCGCGTTTGGAAACACCCCGCATCACCCCGCTATGGCGCAAGGTGACCCACCTGCTTCAGCGCCTTGCCCAGCCACATGGCCGCAGCCTCGGGGTCTTGCGCCACTCCGCAGTTGCCGTGGTAAGACGCCATCCCGGCCCGCAGCTGCGCCTCGACGTGCCCCAGCTTGGCGGCGCGCCGCCAGTGGCGCATGGCCTCCGAGCTGCCCGCCGCGGCGTCGAGGAGGCGCGCCATGGTGAGCACAGCGCCGAGGTTTCCGAGGTTAGACGCCTGCGCATGCAGCGGTGTGTGCAGCCGCGTTTGTGTGTGTGATATGTGTGTGTAAGAGAGAGTGTGCATGGGTGCGTGGGGCAAAAGGCTGGTGGGCCAGCCGTTAGGCCATGCTTCGCTGGGTTGTCGTACAAGGCAAGCAACACTCAAGAAAACGTGGGTATAGGGCGTGCCAAACACCCACCTTGACCAGAAGGCGCGGAAACTGCGACGTGCCGCCGCGGATGCTGCTGCGCAGCGCGGCCGGCGGCGGGCGGTGGCTGCTGCGGAAGGGGGCGCGGGCGTCCAGCTGGAAGCGCAGCACCTTGAGCAGCTGGTCGTCGCTCAAGACAGCCTCCCGCCAGGGCCTGGCGTTATGGAGGGGCGTGGGGCAGGAAAACCGCTAGGCAAAGTGGCCTGAGAAAGAGGGTCAGGCGGGGTTGGGGTAGCCCGGGCCGCGGCCGGCAGGCTCAAACAGGGGACGGCCCGGGCGCAGAGCAGCGCGGCCAGGTGCTGCGACGAGCAGGTGCACAGCGAGCGCGGTGAAAGGGGCTGCACAGCGAGGGCCTGCGGCTGCGGTGCGCCGCTCTGTCCCTCAAGTGCCCCCCATTCCCACCTGCACGTGCTCATGAGGGGCATGATCTGGCCCACGGAGCCACCCAGCCCAAGAGCGACGGCAGCGATGACGTGGGCTGGCAGGTCTTGCCACGGCGCTATGGCGGCGCCGCTGCCGCCGCCGCTGCTGACATCATCGCAGCCAGCAGCGTCCCCAGCCTGCTCCAATGCATTGTCAGCGGAGCAGCAGACGTGCGGACGCTTGCAAGGGCCTCCGCCGCTGCTCGTGGCGAAGCTGGCGCAGGCGCTTGCGGAGGGGTTCACGGCAGCAGGGGCTGGGGCGCGCCGATGTGGGGGCCTGCCTTTCAGCAGGCCCTGCAGCTCTGCAGGGCTTGCGTCCTTGACAAACATGCAGGCGTCACCCCTGACGGCCTGCGTGTCGACAGCAGCAGACGCAGGAGCAGAAAGGTGAGTCTACTCTGTCTGGGGGTGGGCGCCAACATGGAGGCAGGACACGATCTGCCATGCGTGTGTGCTCGACGCCCCCTTGCGAGATCTGTCAGAGCGGCTCGTGAGCGCTAGCCACGGCTCACCTGGCCCGCGATGCGGCTGGCAATCGCGTTGTGCTCCGCGTGTGTGTAGGGTTGGCGCCATGCGATTGCTGCGCTGCCGCCTGCACCCTCTGCCCGCAGCAAGGGGCCGGGCCCGAGCACTTCGTGCACGCTCTGCCAGGCTTCCAACGGTAGTAGCTCGCCGACAGCCGCATGGACTGGGAAAAGAATGCAGGCGCCGGCCTCAGGCGGGCTCATTGCTGCTGGGCGTCGACCACGAACGAATGCGCTGTTGCGCCGCACGCTTCTGGACGTGAAACGTGCTGCTGCCGCCAAGGTGCGACAGCAGCTGCGCGCGCGGCTGCGCAGATGGCGCCTGTGCCGCGATTGCTTTATGTTACAGGTACGAGCACTCGGGCGCCACCGTGTGATTGGGCGCGGGCTGGTGCTGCTCAGAGCAGGAGCGGGTGACTGAATCCACGACAGGCTGCTTATGTAAGATTCAATGTCTTGGACTCTTTACTCGACTAAAATACCACTTCCCACCAGCGCCAGATCGCAGCGGGCGCAAACTGCCGCTGCGGGCTTGTTGCTGGCTGTGCAAAGCTTCTTCATTCAGGACGAGGTTGCAGTGTGCAATTGGCTTCTTCGTGCCCCCGGCGCTGCATGGGAAGGCATCCCACTTGACTCACGTGTTGACTGCGAGCGCACATGCTGAATTGCTGATGCCCGCTCCCCCGCATTCAACATGCAACTTTGAAATGACCTAGCTGCTGGGGGAAGGATTGTGCGCCCCCGAAAATGCGGCGCTCGTGCAAAATGTGCCGCAGCTGTCCTTTGTCACACTGGGCATGACTGCATGCATCCCTCACGGCCAGCACAGCGGTTGACAGCCCACCTCATCAGCAGGATCGTGCTAAGTTCAATCACAGGCCCCATAGTCACATTCTCTGTCCAAGCCCCGAGAAATGTCTTGGTATGAGGCTTAGACCAGACACCGAATGCTGCTCTTGCACCGCCTGGTGCTTGAACGCACCGTCGCTGCTGCTGTGACTGCTGTGATTTCCCCGTCGCTGCTGCTTACCCCTCATCTAAAGCGGGGTGCCATTCTGTGGTCCCGTTGCTCGTCCTGGGGCCTTGAATTTGCAATCCGATGCTAGGGGCCAGCCACTTGAAAGCCCCACCAGCCGGACAGTCCAGACGCCACAGACATGCGGAAATGACAGGCACCATTCTCGCGTGCACATTCAATACTTGACCCAAACCCCAGATGCACATGTCCTTGTCTGGACTGGCCATGGTGGTAGTAGCCAGCTGCCTTGGGGCGGTGCTGAATGGTGAGACTCGGGGGGCCTGACAACAAGTGTGCGAGCTTCTGGATGTTGCTTTGCATGACAATATCGATGGCGGGAATGGCCTCAACCGGGGATCCGCACACAGCTCATTCAGTTTCACACACACATGACAGTGCCGAAATGAGAATCTGAATTTGGTTCACACACCTGCATAGGCACGACGAGTGCTTGAGGGCTTGCAGCCTGGCCAAAAGGAGCTGCGCAACTGTGCATACCGTTGCCCAACCCAATGGCCACCCCCGGACTGCCGTAAGCTGGTTGTATCTCCCCGTTGCGCTGCTGTGCACCCATTCACACGACGCTTACAAGGGCTACAGTTCATGTGGGACGACAGTTGGGTGCCTGCTCGGATGATAAAGCCAGGCGACCACCTCTCAGTCACCCCTGGCCCGAACCCATGCTGCTTCACAGATGTGCAACACAAAGCCAGGAGCTCAGTAGGCGGACAACCTAAATCAGAGTGCTCAAGGGGGTGCCCTGCAAGCATCGCAAAGGCGCCAGTCAAGGGCGGTTGCGGGACTGTTGCAGCGATGTTGCGTCACCCAACCCAACGAGTCGCCTCAACGACAGCCAGGTCATGCAGGCCGTCACAGCGCAGCTTATGGTCACAAACATTCCCAATCCCCTCTTAGACGCTGAATTTTGGCACATTTGCATACCGCTGATCTTTCGGGTTGCGGCCCCATACTTGTTGCCCGCTCCAAGAGTGGTTCCCAGGCTCGCAGGACATTGTATAGTATCACAGGATCGCGGCATCGCGACATTGTGAGCAGCATGGCCAGTATTGCGACGAAGCAGGCGACGCCGCGGCTCCCCGAGCCGCTGCTGGATGAGAACCCCGATCGCTACTGCATGTTCCCCCTCAAGTACCAGGTGCGTGCGTTAGCGTACTGAATTGCACAGTCAGGCCTTGCAGGTGGTCTCACTGCCGCCAGCACCGCCGAGCTGCCCCCGGGCAAGTGCCCCTTCTGCCGCTGCGAACGAAGCCAGGGGGCCGTGCATCCAGGGCAGCACGGGGCTCCGCCGTATTGACTTGACTTTCTCTGCCCGCACGTTCGCCAGACCATCTGGGAGTTCTATAAGAAGGCAGAGGCGTCCTTCTGGACGGGTGCGCACTGGTTCGGCGCCGCGCCAGTCCGCGGCGCGTCAGCGCCGGTTGCGCAGCGGCGGCCACTCGTTTTTGCACCTGCCTGCGCGTCCCAGCGGCGGCGGTGGGGTGATCAGCAGTGGTACTTCCCGCCTTCCACCCTCTTCTACTCTGATCTCTGCTCGCACAGGCCCCTGAATCCCTGCAACACAAACCACACATGGACGCGTGCGCACACACAAACTCACATGCTTGCACACACCCATGCTCACGCACACAAGTACACACGCACACCCATCTATGAACAAACTGGCAGCCGAGGAAGTCGACCTCGGGGACGACATGCGCCACTGGACGAGCCTCAACGACGGCGAGCGCCACTTCATCCTGCATGTGCTGGCGTTCTTCGCCGCCTCCGACGGCATCGTCTTGGAAAACCTGGGGGCGCGGTTTCTGAAGGAGGTGCAGGCCCCAGAGGTGGGCCGTGAGGCAGCCAAGGCTAGCAGCGCCGCCTTGTTACAGCAAAGCGTGTTCTGTGGGGGGTCTGCTAGCAAGGCTCGCAGCACAGCCTTGGCACAGAAAAGCGTGTCCTCGGGGGAGGGGGGCTGCTAGCAAGGCTAGCAGCAGCGCGTGTGCTGGGGGGACCGATGACGAGGCTCGTGGCACAGCCTACACTGGCGGGCTGCCAAGCCCGAGAGCGTCTGCGTGCAGCAGCGCTCGGCGCCCTTGATCAGGGTGTGGGCCGGGGGAAACGCACGCGATGGTGATTGTGAAAGCGCTTGGGTGCATTCTCTTGCCCTTGTTGCAGGCCCTGGGCGCCGCCTTGTGTTCAAGGCCAGGGGGTGCATGCCGCTTCTCATCACCAACTCGCTGCCATGATCCCTACTGCACGCAACCCCCTTCCAACACGTGCCCCATCCCTCCCGAAACGCGGCCTCGCCGCAGGCGCGCGCCTTTTACGGGTTCCAAATCGCCATTGAGAACATCCACAGCGGTGAGCGCGGCCCGCCCCTTCACAGTACCAGCCGGCGCAGGTTGGCAGGCCCTCCTGAAGCCGTCACCGCGCACCCACGCAAAGCGGCAACCTGCACAGCAACCAGGCGTCAAAAACCCATACGTATTCTTGAGCGCAAATCGCGCTCCTGAAGCCGACTCATCCTCCCCTCCGCAAGTTTGTTCTTGTTTCTGCTCTCGTTTCCAGACATATACCCCTCCTCCCCGCCTCACTCTGCCCTACGCCTGACGCGCCCGCGCCCACCACCCCCAGAGATGTACAGCCTGATGCTCGACGCCTACATCAAGGACCCCGTGGAGAAAGACCGCCTATTCCACGCCATCAGCACCGTGCCGGTGGTTAAGAAGAAGGCCGACTGGGCGATCAAGTGGATCAAGGGGTGAGTGACAGGCGAGGCTTCGGAAGGTGCCAGGCGGAGGGCGATGCCGCATTGGACCAGACCAGGGGGGGTTGAGCGGGCATGAGCGATCATCCTAGGACCGGAGGCACGCGGCAGGGCACGCGCGCGCGTGCCTGGTGTGTGCACGTGAAAGTCTGGCGGTTGTGACTGAATCAGGTGGCGGCTGGCATGGACGTGCACCTGCTGTGTGGTGTGAGCAACACACCAATTTTTGGGCGTTCAAACGCTGGGCCCGTGCATCATGTGGGGTTGGTGTGCACCTGCGCTCGAACGTACTCCCATGCATGCAGTGCTCAGTGTGCAGCTGTGCATTCACAGTGTTCATATGCACATGCTTCTGAGCGCACACCCACGCACTCTCAAACTCTCTTGGACAGCTCTGAGAGCTTCGCCGAGCGGCTGGTGGCCTACGCCGCAGTCGAGGGCATCTTCTTCAGCGGCAGCTTCTGCGCCATCTTTTGGCTCAAGAAGCGCGGCCTCATGCCGGGCCTCACCTTTTCCAACGAGCTCATCAGCCGTGACGAGGGCCTGCACACCGACTTTGGCTGCCTGCTCTACAGGTGCGCCAGAAAGCCGGGTGTGGGGAGGGCACGCAGGGCACACACCATTTTGCAGGCTTGAACCGGCAGATGCGCATGTGCTGGCACCCACACTTGTTCGAGACAGGTGAGAGCCCTGCGCACTGCGCGACCCTCTTACAATTGGAACTGGTTATCATTTTGACCCATCTCACCCTCTTGATGTTGAAGATCTTCACTAACAGAACTGTCCCTCTGCCACCTGCATGGTCCCACAGCATGCTGAACAACAAGATCCCCAAGGAGCGGGTGTTGGAGATCATCACAGAGGCTGTGGCGATTGAGAGGGAGTTTGTCATCGACGTGAGGGCGCCTGGGGTTTGGACCGTCCGATGCCATGCGATCTAGTCAGGTCGGAAGCCATTTGACGCAAGGGAATCTCGCTGTCCGCGGGCGTCCACCCCTGCTATGCAGCATCAATCGTGCCTAAAAGGCAAAGAAATGTGGGCTCACGCACGGGACACGCTGCAGGTACCACTGTCATCATTATTCACACCCTCCAGCCCCCTTGCTTTTGCAGTGTGGACATTTTACATACACCTCCCCAACAAACACCCCTCACTCTCCAGGCCATTCCGGTGGACCTGATTGGCATGAATGGGCCGCTCATGGCGCAGTACATTGAGTACGTGGCCGACCGCCTGCTTGTGGCGCTGGGGTGCGAGAAGCACTACAAAGTGCACAACCCCTTTGACTGGATGGAGCTGATCAGCCTGCCCGGGAAGACCAACTTCTTTGAGAAGAGGTGGGTTCGGCTGCTCAATCGTTGTGAGCTCATTGGTGTCATGTGCCTGCATATAAATCAGCAGACACTGCGTGTGTGTGTTATTCGTGCGCACACGAGCCGGCTGGATGCGCAAACTTGACCACGTGCATGCATGTGTGCCGGCATGCATGTGTGCGCGCTTGCAGTGACACTTGCGTGTCCTGATGCACTTGTCCACCTCGTGTGCGTGAGGCGTGCGCGCGCACGCGCACGCGCGCGCGCGTGTGTGTTTGCGTGTGCGCGCGCGCTGCATCTGGGCATCGCAGCAGTGCCAGGCGTACGCCTAAATGGATGCCTGCGGGGGTCGATGCGCCACCTTCACCTTGTGCCGTCCCACATAATCAAAGGCCGCACCACACCTGTTTTCATTATTACAACCCGTTGGTTCGCCCCACCCCATTTGCCTTAACCCACACAGGGTGGGTGAGTACCAGAAGGTGGGCCCAATGGCTGGACTGGAGGGGAAGCTGCACACCTTCGCCCTTGACGAAGACTTCTGAAAACTTTCGTGGCGCCTTTTTGGTTTGGGACGTGCGTGTGGATACCGAGCGGCATCCTGCCTACAACCGCCGGGTGTGCTCCCTGCCAGCCCATGGGCCTGTGGTGCCCTCAAAACAGACCGGCACGGTCGTGCACGCGGAGTGCGTGCAGCGTGCGCAACCGACCCCGGAAAGGGGTGGGCCCTGAGACTGGGCCCACGCCCTCCTCGGGGCTTGCATGGCATGACTGCCAGCTGGGCCTCAGCTGGGCAATGCCACGCAGCATTGCGCAGGCAGCTGTCGCATCAGCCAGATTGTTGTTATCACGGCGATAGGTTTGGGCAGAGTGCTCAGCAAGAGCGTGCTGCCATTGCATGGGCTGAGCGAAGGGATCAGTATGGTTGCGTATGTTGGCGTGCGAATGACAACAAGGCACGTATGCAGTACAGGCACCGGTGCAGTGCATTATATGTACCTGAGTTATGGCCTTATGTGCCTGTTGCTACCTGCAGGCGCCGTGCGCTGCCTGCGAGGGTGCCCCCTCTGCGGACACGCCCCGGGCACCACCCAGCCGTGGATGGCCTGACTGCCGCCGCTGCTGCTGAAGGCAATATGTGCAAATGAGGGGCACTAGATCATGCCTTGGAACGGCGTGGTCAGTTGTGAGGACTAGTTTTGCAAGTATTCTGATGCTTCAGGTGAAGGCAGTACGGGGCTTGGTTCTAGCAAGATCGTCGGTTACATGATATGTTTTATCCTTTCAGGCCTTGCCACTTGATTTGGCTCTTATGACAGTTTGCGGCTCGTGCATTAGTTCATACGCGAGGTTTGGAGGCAGGTATGGCACATTTTGAGCAAGCATTTGCTGTGTTAGCTGTTCTATTCTCGGTTGTCTCGCCCCGTGTGCAGCAACACAGGTTGTGTGTGTGCAAATAAATTCTTATTGGAAGGAGCAAGCGTGTTTCAGCCCAAAGGCCACTGTGTGAAAAACGCCACTGTGAGAAATCATGTCTCACGGATCGTGGCTGTGAGCAAGTCGGCTGCTGACAGTTTGTGTCCGCACAAGTCGTGTTCGTGGGTGCACATTGCCGCTGTTTGGCCGCTTGCTTGGCATTTGGTGGCTATGCATACAAGAATCTGTAATCAAGGTGGGTTACTAAGTTGTGCAGGCACACCTTTGTTGCGTTCATACAGCAGCAAAGGGAGGAATGAGAGTGTTTGGTACAACGGCCTGGAAGCAAGATGTTGCTGGCCGCGCACGCTTAGCCCATGAAGACCTTCGATCACTGGGCGATGTTTCTGCTGCTGGTGTCATCCAAGACAGAAGGTGCAGGCTGTCAAACGAAGAAGAGCTGGTGCGCGGGCCAACCCAACAGCGGTTGCTGTGCTGCGTCATCAGCATGGACGGCTCCATCCAAGGTAGCGTGTGTCACCCCTGCAGCCTCGCTCATGATAGTTGTGGCTAATTTTTGCGTCATCATCGCGCTGTGGTACGCAAAACTTTACATTAAACGGTACTGTCCGCTTCGAAACATCGCGTGATCTCCGTGTTCAGCGAGGCACGCTCTGCACACCCTACAAAGGCGACCTGAAGGCTCGCGACGCCACTCTGATCCCGCCTTGCGCACGACCCTGCGAGACGCTGACCAGAATGGCCGAGGTTACGACGAAGGAGGCACCTCAGCGGCTCCCCGAGCCCCTGCTGGATGAGAACCCCCAACGCTACTGCATGTTTCCCATCAAGTACCAGGTGTGTTCCCGTTGGCACGCGCAGGGGCAGCCTGGTCCCAAGCGCCGCCGCCGCGACCGCCGCCGCAGCCAGCCAGGGCCAGCCCTCATCCCCCGCCTAGGCGCCCCAGTGTGCAAGGGTGCATGCATGCGTGCGGGGTGCGGGGCGCGCCAGCTTGCGTTCTGTTCTCACCCAGACCTCATGCCTGTCTACCCCAGACCGTCTGGCAGTTCTACAAGAAGGCAGAGGCGTCCTTCTGGACGGGTGCGGGCTCGGCGGTGCGCCAGACGGCGCCGCCCCCCGGCGCTCTTGTGCTCGTCCCCGGCAACCCGCAACTGACCCCCTTCTGGGGCCCCAGCCCTGACCTGCTGCGACCCCTCCAGCAGCCACCCTCCTCGTCCCTCAAGCACACACCCCTACCTCCCGTTCCTGTTTCGCCCGCCTGAGCCCTGCCACCCCCAAACCCCAAACCCCCTCGGACCCACGCAACCGACCGGCAGCCGAGGAGGTGGACCTGGCGGATGACATGCGCCACTGGGTCGGCCTCAACGATGGCGAGCGCCACTTCATCCTGCGGGTCCTGGCCTACTTTGCCGCCTCTGACGGCATTGTGCTGGAGAACGTGGGGGCGCGCTTCTTGAACGACGTCCAGATCCCAGAGGTGATCGCCCCTGGCGCACCCCCGCCGCACGGCCCACCGGCGCAGCAACCCAAACCCACGCGCAGCCGCCCCTGTGGCGGGCGTTGACCTGAAAGGGCACTGCTGCTTTGTGTGCCAATGCGTGGTTGCGCTTGCAGCATTGTCTCCGTCAAGGGCCGCGCGCTCGGCCATCCCGCGCCTGGACAATTCATGCACGGTCCATCTTTAATGGACCTCGAAAAGACGATCCCCTCTCCTGCTGCTCACCGCACCTCGCCGGCCCTTGCCTGGGCTCTTGATGCAGGCGCGCGCCTTTTACGGGTTCCAGGTCGCCGTTGAGAATATCCACAGCGGTGAGCGCAAAGGGATTATCAGCCCCTTCACAGGACCAGCCGGGCACATCAGCAGCGCAGCTGTGTCAAATGTTGCTGTTGTGCGTGATCGTCGTTGCGTGCTGTCTGCGAGATATTGCCTCAGAGGATGGTGGGTTGCGCGAGGAGCCGCAGCCAAACGCTCAACAAACCGTTGATCGTGCGTGTCTGGCGCCGGCAAGGGCGCCCGCAGCATGAGCGCGCGTGCCGTGCCCTGGAAATCCCGCAATAGTCAGCATCTATAGGTGGTGCAGAACAGCCCTTGAGCACCAATTGTCTGTGCTTGTCTGGAGGAGCTCGCCAAACCTCAAACTGCCCCACTCCGCTCCATCCCGCACCACCCCAACATGACCCATCCAGCCCACCACAACTCCGTACACCAGGCCCCCGATCCAACCAACACCGCCCCCATCCCCACCGGCATCGTCCTGCGCGCGCGACGCCAAGTCATACCACCACCAACCCCGATTCTAATCCCACAGAGATGTATAGCCTAATGCTGGATGAGTACATCAAGGACCCGGTAGAGAAGGACCGCCTGTTTCGCGCCATCAGCACTGTGCCATCCGTCACCAAGAAGGCAGACTGGGCGATCAAGTGGATCAAGGGGTGAGTGCCACTGCGGAAAGGGGTCAAGGGGCGATGGATTGGGCTACAGCTGGGAAGTGCACCCGCAACAGGGGAGTTGGATGCTCGTGAGCAAGCCGCTGCTTGGCTAGCATGTGGGTGCGCCGGCCTGCGCGATGGCCCGTGCATGCTGGTTGTACGTCGTATGTTCAACATGGAAAATCGTGCACTTGTGCATATGCGCCAATCTCACACGCAGGCCGCGCGTGTGCTCCCAACCCTCCCACACATATGCAAGCCCCATGCATGCACCCACACAGTGACGCACACAGATGCGTGGGCATCTGCACACGCGCGCCCCGCGCCTGCGCCCACGCCCGCGCCCACACACGCACACCCACACACTTGCATGCACCCTCTCACAGCTCTCAGTGCTTCGCCGAGCGGCTTGTGGCCTACACGGCTGTGGAGGGCATCCTCTTTAGCGGCAGCTTCTGCGCCATCTTCTGGCTCAAGAAGCGCGGCCTCATGCCGGGCCTCACCTTCTCCAACGAGCTCATCAGCCGTGACGAGGGCCTGCACACCGACTTTGGCTGCCTGCTCTACAGGTGCGTGGTTTGTTTTTGAGGTGACAGGGGTGACAAGGTGTGCAGGAGAAGGGCAATTCAGGGGTTGCTGTGTCGATGGCGCAGCAACGACGACAGCTTGTGGACTGGACGAGTCAGGCACGTGACCACGTCGCAAGCTGCCCACCTGAACTCGTTGTGTACGGGCCTGGCCCACCGCCCGCCTCTGCGTGCCCTGCCCAAGCCCCCACTGGGGGCATGATGTGGCACACGCTCTTGCCGATTCACCGATATTTCTTCACACACACACACACACACACACACACACATCCACCCAGCATGCTGAACAACAAGATTCCCGAGGAGCGGGTCGTGGAGATCGTGACAGAGGCCGTGGAGGTTGAGAGGGAGTTCATCTGCGACGTGAGTGCCTGCCTGGTCTGGCCTGAGCTGCGTGGTCAAACTGCACGGTTTGAGCGTGCTTGATTACGGCTGAATATTTTTGTGCTGATTGAATATGTAAATGTCATACACTCGATGCCCTTCATGCACCTGCCACAGCGCTCGCGTGCACTCCCATCCGAAATCCCCACCCATAAACCCCCCAAACGCCCAGTCCCTGCCGGTTGAGCTGATTGGCATGAACAGCAAGCTCATGACTCAGTACATCGAGTACGTCGCCGACCGCCTGCTGGTGGAACTGGGGTGCGAGAAGCACTACAAAGTGCACAACCCCTTTGACTGGATGGAGCTCATCAGCCTGCCTGGGAAGACCAACTTCTTCGAGAAGAGGTGGGTGCGGCTGCCTAACGAAACCTTGTTGTTGATCCTTGGCCCGTCTGCCCTTGCAGACGCAGCTGGGCTGGCGTTATGGATGGGGGCGTACGTGCATGCACGCCTGCGTGCGTGCGGGGTCTGCGCGCACGCACAAGTTTAGGGGTGATGGGGCACGCAACCTTGTGCACTTACAGGAGCACTGGCAAGGGTTCTGGGGATGGTAAATTGGTGTGACGTCACCACAAACCGAGACAGCTCCTGCGGCAACACATGCTCAACTCGTAAAATTCGCGCCCCACACTGGGATAACGTATTCTGCTTGTTGCCCATCATTATCTGTTCCACACCGCACAGGGTGGGTGAGTACCAGAAAGTGGGGCCAATGGCTGGCCTGGAGGGGAAGCTGCACACCTTCTCCCTCGACCAGGACTTCTGACCCGCTAATGGCGCGTCATCCACCCTCAAACTGGGGGCAGATGCTGCCTGCCATGCTTAAATGCTGCCACGGCAGGCGTGCCAGCTGGGCACAGGGTGTTCGGCCCCTCATGGCCTGCGGGCTGGGGCTCCTACGAGTGTTGTCAGGCGCCGGCCGCGGCGCTAAGGGACTGCTGGGCGCGGCGCGTCTGTCAGCTTGATTGTTTGACCAAGTGACTCTGAGCATCAAGCCTTTGAGGTGGATGCAGCTGCTGCAGGGACAGCGGGGCGATGCGGCTCGCATGATAGCGCAGTACGCTCTGCTCGTGTGTGTGTCATCAATTGGCTGGACGGGTAGGGGTCCCACACACCGACTGAATTGTGGGAGTGAGCGATTGATCAAACATGCAGGTTAATTTGGGTTGCAGGGAGACAAGTTGTGTGACGACAAGTAGCGTGGCACGGTGCACAACATGCGGTTGGTTTCAAAGTATCAACAATGTAAGGCAAACCACTGCAGTCTCTCAGCGGGTGGCAGTGTCACCCGCAAACCTTTGCGGATAGGTGAAACCGACATCAAGACAGAATTATGCCCCAGCAATCTGGTCCGGGGCGTCGGACTAGTAAGGCTGACAAATCGATGAGTCTTACGAACCATGGCGTAAGCTCCTTTCGAACAAGCTGCACAGGTTCTGAGAGATTTTCCAAACTTGAGATGTTGGCTGCAACATGCTCATTGGCAGTGGTTTGCGCCGCCATGTGAGGGTGTCATTCCAGGTCAATGTTGGGACCGCCGCGTCAGCACCCATGAACCCACGCGGTGAAGGGCCAAGATCGTCTTCGACGTGATACAAACTAATAATTATACAGTCTGAGTTTACTTATCGACCGTCCTCATCGGCTCCCTTCGCCTTCATTCTCTGAAAGCTAACCAACCAACCGCGGCGCGGCGAGTTTGTACGCGTTGCTGGCCAGTGAAACGGACGCACCGAAGTAACAACAGCATGTACGGTTCACGAAGCAATTGTCAGGGCCCTTCAATGTCGATGCTCCTCGTGGTGCTGCTTTGCGCTGCAAGTGTCGCAGCCGCAGCGGCGCCGACGCCTGCAGCGGCCCACAAGCATGCGGAGGATAAGGCCAAGAGGCCCAGCGCCCTTCAGCCGTCGCTGACTGTTGTGAACCACACGGAGGGCGGCATTAACGTGCGCGTGTGCGCCGGGTCAAAGGGCGGCAGCGGCGGCTTCAGCGTCCAGGTGCGGCGCCAGGCGGCCCCTGCTGCCTCCCTCCTGTGCACAGTGGCAGGGCCGCCTGCTGCAACAGAGGGGTTGTTGCTCGTGTACGGCTCAGATCCTGGCATGTACGATGCCATAATACCCTTCGCCTCTGATCTGCGCATCTGAACACGTCCCAGCACCCTCTGTGGGTGGGCCCGACTGTCAGGGGCCCCGGGCCCCTGACAGTTGCGCAAACAACGCACCGCCACACGTCTGTCAAGTCTGGAGGGGTGATGCAGCGCCCACCAACTGACTTTTCTGTCTCATGCAATGCAAAACTGCGCGCAGTGGCTATCGGAGGACCACTACTCGGCAAACGGCAACGCCTGGCCCAAGAACCCCAAAAACCCGGACATCTGCCACGGCAGGTTCGAGGCCCGCCCCACCTCCCGCTTCAACCTCAAGCCCAACGGCTGCGCGATCGTCGGCGTCGGGGACGCCTTTGTCCCCGAGAGCGGCGCCTCCGTCGACTGCCCGCGGATCCTGCCAATCAACAAGAAGTGGCGGCTCCGCGCGTCGACGAAGACGGTCACGCGCACGATCATCAACCCCTATGCCCAGCCGAGCGAGACGATTGAGGCAACCACCCTGTCCTGCCGCCACGACCTGACGATCGGCTGCCAGGCAAACGAGAAGTGCGTGCTCACGCCCCTGGGCCGCAAGTGCGCCTGCAAGGTCGAGCGCTCCCCTGGCGTCTGCGCGCCATAGGCCTATGCTCCAGGCGAGGGAGGGTGCATACTTGCGCATGAGCCGCACGGCGGCTGCGGCGGGAGCGGCCAGGTCCTGGTGCGCGCTGCGTCGGGGCCCAGGCAGCGGCGGGGTGGTGGGACGCGCAGCAAAGGGGGCGAATCGAACGCCAAGCAGCCGCCACTTGATTAGTTTACTTCTTTGCCACCTGTCACAATCCACTATTGGAGAGGACACGGTGCAGTCGGGCCTCGAGTGTGCGCCGTCATCCTTACGTTAACGGCGTGACTACGCAATAAAGTGACGCCACGCTGCCCGCTGCAGCGTGCAATCACATGCGGGTGCACGCCCGGGGCCGTATCTTCGATCCAGAATTTTTTTCTTTCTCTGCCTTGAGGCAACGCCTGCTTCCGAGCACGCGGCATCCTGGTGGCGGTCCTCAAAAATCCTTATACCGTACTCGGACATATCAACACCCCAAACCCCCTCCCTGTGGTGCCCATTATGCGGCGCCGCCGATGCATACCTTAGTACCGCACCTGCGTACGTAAACACTTGCTGCAGCCCTAGATGTCGTGCTTTGGTTGGATAGCAAGAGCGCGCGCTGTATCCTCAGCACCAGACAACATGCTGCGCGCAACACGCACGTGCATAGACACAGCGCGCGAGCGCGCACATGACATGTGCCAAGCCTCACGGTGAGGCCTGATGGCGTCCCTTTGCGGTTGCTGTCATGCAAAGGTGCCTGGAGTCACCCAACGTTGGCTTTGTGCGTGGGCACGCAGCTCGCGGGCAGCTTTGCAGGGCAACCCTCTATTGGGATTTGGGGGATCACGAATGCAGGAGCAGGCCAGCAGCAGGAGGCAGGTTCCGAGAGAGATGCGGCTTTGGTGCAGGTGCCAGCAACATATGAGACCCAACAGGCAGTGATCTCACGCATTTACAAAATGCACTCTGCCGTCCTGAGAAGGTGGCTTGGAATCATGCAGGACGGCTGTAACCCGGGTGTCCGGTACTCATGTGCCGCATGCAGACCGAGGCCAAGCACTTGGATGCAACAAAGTATGTGTACGCCCTGTTTCACAACACTGGCAGGCCTGCAACGCTGCAAAGCAGCCCCTGCGTCAGCCAACCACACCCACAGCCATGAGACGGCCTCGGCCCACATGCAGCTCCAACCACCACCTGCAGGCACCAAGCATATTCACAGGACGCACCAACCCCAAAATCAACGAGATTATAGATGCGAGCTCGGCCACGCCCCTGGCTGGCTGATGCATGGTCAGCGCTTCTTGGCGGGGTCGTCCGGCGCCAGGCGGTCGAACAGCTTCTTGGCGCGCGCGGTGTCGCCGGTCTTGTAGGCCAGCGCCATCTCCGCGCGCAGCAGCTCCTGGCGCCGCATCTCCTCCGCCATGCCGCCCTTCCTGCGGGCGGGGAGGGCGGGGTTGGCGCCGCGAGGGCGGGGGGCGAGGGGGCCGGGCCGGGGTCTGGGGAGGTACGGCCCGCCTGTGGGCATAACCGGGAAGGGGATATTTCTTTGGGGGGCGGGGCGCCCCCAGACCGGTGCTTCCTGTTTGGCTGCGCGGAGTCGCGTCACAAAAAACGCCAGGCCCCACGGGGAGTGGGAGCGGGCAGCACTGTGGCAAGAAACGAGTGCGCGCGCAAGCGCGAGCGGACGCACCGGCGCACTCTGCCAGCCGGCCCGCCACCCAGCCGAGCGCGCCCATCCCCTCAAGAAGTACCTGAGCGCCTGCATCGTCTCCTTGACGCGCTTCTCCTGCTCCTTCTGGCGCTCCTCCACCCGCCGCCTGTGCAGCTCCTTGTCGTCGCTGAGCTCAGCCGCCTTGCGCGTGCCCTGGGGGTTTCAGAGGTTTCGGGGTTTTGGGGGCGGAGAGGGTGTTTGGGGGAAGGGGTGTAGGGTTGTGGAGAGTGTGAGGCAGGCGTTGTGATTAAGATGCACGTGGCAGCGCCGTCGGCTGGGCGCAACTTCCAGCCGACGTGGCAGTGCGGGGCGGGGTGAGTGGGGGGATGTGGGCAGGGGCCGGCAGGCCGGACCGAAGCAGAGGGACTGCTACCTGGTGTACCAAGCCGCGGACAACGCACGCAGCGGGCGCTACAAAATGACCAACACCGGGTGCGCATGCGTGCCCGCAACGCCGCCACCCGCGCCGCGCCGCACCTGGCGTGCGGCCGCCTTCTTTGCTGCCTTCTCCTGCTCTTCCTTGTGCTTT